ACAGTCAGAACAAAGCATTGTTTGAACCAGGTAGTCAGGACAAAGCATTGTTTGAACCAGGTAGTCAGGACAAAGCATTGTTTGAACTAGGTAGTCAGGACAAAGCATTGTTTGAACCAGGTATTTTGGGCAAAGCATTGTTTTCATTCTTATACTTTGTTCCGAATATTCCTGGTGAAATTATGAAATGCACTTTTTACCTGTTTCAAGTGCTTGTTTTTGTTCAAAAATACCTATGACAATATAGATCACTGTAGTATGAATGCAAAGGTTCTCACAGAATTAGTCACTATTTAACCTTCTAGCTGTAGATTAAAAATTCATCTCCAAAATATTTTTTTCGTACAAAATTTCGTTTTTGGGGACATTCCAGTTTGAAATGTTAATTTGTTATATTTCGCTTGATATTTTTATTTGATTTCCTGATATTGTATTAGTATGTGTTATTTCCAGATGACGATGGATTAGTTGACAAATTTCTCGAAATATTGCATGCGATGTTAATTGGGAATATTCTGCAAAATTTGTACCATACATCATCAGTTGTACGAGTATCTGAGAAAATGTTGCTGACATTTTTCATTATGTTTGCTGCTATTCAAATTAATACATACAGTAAAACAAAATAATACACGCATGCATACATTAAAACAAAATGGCCGCTCACCCCGAAAAGGTTGATGGCCTAACATTACATTATAAATCACTGCAAAATAATTGTTGTTGCTTAATGTTGAAAGCTCTCTCAGTAGTTAATATAACTTAATCGATATGTTTACAAAAAAAAATAATATAAAAATGGAGAGTTGCTTCAAGGGATTTGGTCCATGATACCAAGCAGGTGCACTGACGAGAACACAGGAAATATAGCAATGGTAATTACCCAACAAAGTCTCTCGCATTTGTTTTATTTAAAACTACATGACTACATGTAGAAGTTCACGTCTATCTAATTCATGAGAACCTGAGCTGAATTTTAAGCATGTGAATTGAGAAATATTCAAACTTATATCATCAATAATTTAACTGTAAAGATTTTAAGAATATTATTAAAAAAAAAAAGAGTCCAAACTAATTTTGGAAATCAAAATGTCAACTGCATAAACATTAAATTATGTTTGTTTGCAAATAGTCTTTTTTGTTTAGTGCGGAAATTTTTGTTGCACAAAATTATTGAGTACAGTTCAATGTATTATATTGATATTATGGGGTAATATATATTATATATTTAAGAAATAATAAAGTACCTTTTCAAAATATCAAATCAATATCCAAAAATAGTTTGGACTTTACAGCTGTTAATTTCAGCTATTATGCCCGTACATGTGTTAATAGCAGAATGTATAGCAACAAATAACTATACACTAATTTAGATATTGCACAAGGGTTTAGAAATACATGGTTAACATGCTAGATATTTACATACAAGTTACGCCAACCTACCATCACTACCAATCCGGTTATTAGTCATGACAAACTATAACCTACCATCACTACCAATCCAGTTATTAGTCATGTCAAACTCTCACCTACCAGCACTATCGATTATTTTTCTAGCATCTACTGTGGAATCTCTAATGACAATGCCTGAACGATCCATGGATCACATTTGGAGCCTTCCCGGAATTCTTCCTTAGTAAGTTTGCCATCATTATTCTGCAATGATATGAAAACACAAGATTACGTATCAGATATTTTAATTCAAACCATAGACAGAAAAATCAAACTCAGCTGATTTATGAGTGGAATAGTCTACATTGCAGACTTACATGTAGTATGTATAAAAATATTGACATGAGCAACAAAATAGAGCAAACATGCCTGTAGATATGTTACCATGACAACAACCACAGGTAAATTATGGATGCATTGGCTGTCGATGTGTTTAATAAAAACCAAATCATTCTGCACATGCAGATGTACAAGATAAAATCTGACGTGAAAGCTTACGTTCTTTCAAGCAGGTATAAAACCCAGCACAGCATGTAGATGTACATGTATGAATAAATATAATCTGGCAATTTGCCACTTTAGCCATTTTGAGATGCAAATAATGATTCACCATTGAGTCTCTGAAACCACCATGCATATTTGATGAGTTGGCAAATTAGATCACTCAAGTATGACAGTCTATGCTCACTCCATTTGCTAAACATCCTATGAAGGTTAGAAAGTAGGTTTGCTTCCCATCATAGCTGCACAAGTACAAAATCAATGTACATATACTTAATTATTAATTTCTAACATAAACTTCCGAAGAAAATTTCAAGTCAATCTTAGTCAATGACTAAGAAACTAACTAACAAATACTGTAAAATCTTCTATTGAAATGGTAAAATGCAACAGAGGGTATGCGGCTTCTATTGGAGCATCTACACATATGAGAAATGATGAACTTTTGGTTCCAAATTGTTCAAAAAGAATGGGTGCAACCTTCTATTTGGGATGTGGCTTCTAATACAGATTTTACGGTAATAAAACATCAAGATACTGTAAATACATTAATTATTTAATGGTTTTTAATTTCGCTATTTTCGCTGATAAATAAAATTAAATCCACATGAACATGTAAAATAACAATAGAACTCATTGTTTTGCTGCTAAGTCTGTGAGTTTAAAAATTCTAAAATTTTGAGAATATATCGATATATATTGTTATGTTTGGCTTTAAATGAACAAGGCCGAACTCAGCTTTCTCTCGGTCTCGACCGTATAAACGCACAAGAGACAATCTCCTGTTACTTGCTGGGGGGATTAATAATTTGGCTCAGATAAAATACTTGTATGTAAACCTAGCAATTAATGGCATGCTTTATGAAAAAATTGATTTCTAATATTCAGAAGAATTTTTGTGACTAAAACTTGACTTCAAAAATTCACGAAGAGATGATTTGCAATCTTGATTGCACGTACACGTAACATGTAATGATCAATCTGAGAGCTCCCTAAGGTGATGGTATCATAAAAATTTTGATGGGAGATTAAGAAAAAAAGGGAATATTTCAAAATCTAGAAATTGCTTATTTGTCATCTTTGCAATAATGTTTGTTACAATTGAGGTAATTCACTGCTACTTTTATTCATTATTATTTGTCATGATATTACGAGATCATACTAAAAAAAGGATTAAGAATGTACCATAAAAACTGTATTAGAAGCCGCATCTTTAATATAAGCCGCACCCATTCTTTTTGAGCAATTGAGAACCAAACATTCACAATTTCTCATTCGTGTAGATGCTCTAATAGAAGTTGCATCCCCTCTGTTGCATTGTACCATTTTAATAGAAGCCGCAGCTTCTAATACAGATATTACAGTAACCATAGAATTGTTGAAATCCTAGTACAGTCAGAGTGTAACTTAACTCGCAAACTGGTTATCAACTGGTTTTGCCTTTTAACAGAAATCTGCAATTTTTAATGATTCTCATCAATAATTTCAACTTATAATAATTTCATTGTCAACCTTTGGCACCATCTACGAAATGAACCATCTACAAAATGCTTTTGTAGTCTGCTTCTCTCCAAATGGATATTGATAAAATTGATAAACTTTTTGATCAAAAACTAACTGAACTTGTCTGTATAATACAAAATGAAATTCAATGAAAATTTTACAAAATGTGAAAATATTTGCACTCAATTTTGCAATCAAAGGGTTATTGTAAAATACTTTATTTTAATTGGAATTAATTTTCGCTGACTTTTTGAGTTTTTTTGGATAGAATTTATTTTCACTGATTTTTGATGAGTTGAATGTAAAATATAGAAAAAAAGTATATTTTCTGGATTTTATTAACTGAGTCACTTCTTCATCAAAAATAGCGAAAATAAATTCCAAGTGAAAATAAAGTATTTTATAGTATCGTTAGATACACGCTGTAAGTTATGTCTAGACTGTTCTGTACTTCGCTGTAGGTTTTTAGTAGTTTGTTGTGAATCCCAAACAAACCTCTGGATAGAATATATCTCTATAATATGTCTGTCATTAGCAGGTTTTTTTTTTTAAACAAGGGAACCGGGGCGCAGCGCCCTCATGCCATGGCCATGCACCCCCTTACCCTGGGGAGCAGATCCTCTGGCAACTATAAAATTCTGATTGACCAGGGATCACATGTTGCCACAGTTTTCAAGTGTGACCTGTCTGATAGTAATTTTGGCTCCAAGGAAGCCATAGAATGCTCCATTTTAACTTAGAATTATCGAAACCTCCACACCCTGGTAGGGAGAACTCTATCTCTCCCACTTGGTGGCGCTACTGATAGTAATTTTGGCCCCAAGGAAGCTATAGAATGCTCCATTTTAACTTAGAATTATCAAAACCTCCACACCCTGGTAGGGAGAACCCTATCTCCCGCGCCGCTGAATTGCAGTGCTCCCTCTCGCAGTTTTTTTCTAGAAAAAACCCTGATTAGTTGTTTTAATGTTTTCATTGATATAATAATAATAAAAACACATCAAAGTCTCTATCACATCTACTGTGTTTATTTGAATGTCACTTCAAACCACACTAAACTACATGTATTCATGAGTTCAGGAGATTATTTTGGTTACAATACTAGTACAATGTCTTGTTACATTATTCTATTTTTTTTTTTTTTTTCAAAATCAAATATCTCATGAATAATTAATCACAAAATGTAATTCTTTGTGATGTCATTCGAGAAGTAGGCTATCAAGAGTAAACATCATAGATTACGAAGATACCAGAAGTATTTCAGTTAACCTGTCATGGTACACATCAACTAAGTACTGTATACCAGTTTTAAAATGCAGTATAAACAAAAACATAATTATTGTATTTTTTAATAAATGTAGTTTGATATTCCATACTGTTGACCAAATAGGATTATGACTATCCTAAAGTTTTTGTGTTTTCATAACATACCACAGTATTTGTTAGAAGAAAAATCAAAAGCCCGAATACTCATGTCCAGTGATTGTTATTGTACATACCAAAACAAACAATGCAAATGTGTATTAGAAAACAAATACTGTAAAAATATTTCCAGTTCATAATAAATCATAGTTCAGTTTATCTATCAATTTAGAAAATGTTTTATATGTTTCTACGCTTATCAATAAAGAGCCATTGTCTGAAACGTCTAGCTATTTTTAATAGTTACTGAGGAGAACGATTACCAAATATTATCTACTACTGTATATATCATATTTATCGGTCCGAGCAGCGTTAATTTATTTCATACTGAGAATTACTTGTTCATGTCCATATTTTATCTTTAACTCTGCTACAGACACATTCTACAACATTTTGTAGCACTGAACATTTCATCAAAAATGGTGTTCTCACAAATTCTATATACTCATTAAATCACAAAAATTTCTCACAGCAAAATTTAATTGTAAAGAAATAAAAAAAATAACATAAACATAAATCTGATACTTTATTAATCTTGTTTACTATTTTGCCTGTAGGAACGATGCAATGCAATATAACATTATTGTGAGAATTCATGTTCTTGCAGAATCATATGATGAAATAGTGTTCAAGATCAAGTTTTCCTTTTATCAGTAAAGAATTGACACATTAAATGACAACAAAAACTGTTCCTCACCGTGTCCATTTGTAAAAAGATCTTACTGACTCGTTTTTCAGGAGTATCCTCATCCTTCGGAAGATCCAGCATGTTACCCTAGCAATTTAGAGAACAAAGTTAGTTGAATTAAAAGAAAGATGTCAATCTCATACATTGTGCTATATTGAAGAATGTACAAATGCACAAAGGTATATGGCATTGGAGACTTTCAATATGAAATTATTTGAAAACTCATTTAAGAATAAAACATATTTTAATATGTTGGGAAAGCCTAAAGAACAAAAAAATATTAAACTACACATCTGACTTCTAAACGGTGTACATTAATTACGATCTTACGATATGATCAAACATATCACCATATAATTTCCATCAAACAATATCTTATACAGCGTACTTACCACCATTTTATAAATAGCATCAACAATATCTAACATTTCCTGCCTCGTTATAAAACCATCGTTGTCTAAATCATACAAATTGAAAGCCCCTGAGAAAATAAAAGATTAACAGACGTTTACAGTAAATTTAAAAAAGAATGCTATATGTTCTTGAGTATTCGTGATGTCTATTTGACAGCAGAGGGCAATGACAATATTTTGCATCAAATATGTCTAATTACATTAATGATTTTATTGTTAGCCAACAGTATGTGATCTAGAAAATTTGGCCATAGCGTGTCATTGTTTACAAGCAAGCATTTACCCATGAGCTTTTGCGTTCTTAACGTGTGTTGTTATCATCACTTGGTACCGTGCGTGTGTGGGTGGGTGATGACCATCCCGCTTAAATACTTTCGACATCAATAAACCTTCTAAAACACGTATTAAAATATTGAGGAATATCCTTATACAAAATATGCTATTTTCATTCCATTCTATACATTTCTCTTAGAGAAAAGAAACGAGGAAATCAAACAGATCTTAAATAACCATCATGATTGTTAAGAATGGAGAAAAAGATTTAGTGTTTACAGTAATGTGCTTCCAACAAAATAATTTACAGGCAGGCAGGTAGGTACTTAATATTAAGTCATACTTAATATTAATCTGTTATTATTAATAAATATTGTGTATAAACGTAATAGGTGTGAATAAATTGTGAATGCCGAGACAGAAAGTGAAGTCCTTTCAGCATTTGAATGTCTAGGATACACAATTACATTATGCCTGAGAACTGTCAACAGTCTAGTAGGGCTTTTATTTTGTTTTCAAATAGACAATCTTTTAACAGGTTATTTATACATGTATTACTATCATGCATTTAATATTGACATAAGTTTAAGAGTGAATGGCCACCAACTGTAATATCACTATTTAGCAAATATCTTTAAAATTATGTTTTTATAGTCGTCTACTACATCAAAGGAACCAAATGAACAAAATCATTTTTAAAGTGAAATGAAAAATTATTATAACCTCCCCCACTAACCTAAAAGTACAAATAAATATTCAAAATTTTTGAAAATTAAAACATTTCGAAACGTAGCGGAATTTCCAAAAGTAATCCGGACGCTGTTTTTAGTGAATAGAACATAGCTAATTTGTATAAAAACAGAATAAAAAAGACTAATTTGCACAAAATAAATGTTTTACTTTCATATAGTCGGGAGGGTTATCAGAACGAGTTAGCTGTAGACTATAGGATTATAGCTGAAATCTACAGAAAAATAGACACTTAGATGGTAATGAGGATAAAGAACTTCCTTGTTATCTGCAGCACTGTCTGAGATTAAAAAGTAGGTATGGGGATTTCCATATATGTATCTAACTGGGCCAAAGCAGATTCAGGCTACCACTACATATACCACACATAACACACTAATACTATAAAAAGTATGAATTATTCACTTGGTTTAAAATTTACTATTTTTAATAAATGGCATCGGCAAATTTAATTAAATCCATTTGGGTGGGTATAAATTCAATAAAATTCATTGTTTCACAAGAAAAATTATGACTTTAAAACCCAGTGCTCCTATATGCTTAAAATATCAAAATTATCATAGAAAAATTAAATAAATAAAGTGAAAGGTAATGCAGACTGAGGCAGTGACTTCACTATACTGTACATATACAATTACCGTATCCATGACAACATACTGAGTCAGCGATTTCGCTGTCACTACATTTTATCAACGTAGAGTTTATGCAGTCTCACAGAACACATATCAAGTAATTACGTCTCGGGGAAAAGTAACATTTGTAGATTACAAATACCTTAAATCAAATCCGCACTCAAATGTAGACTGGGACAATGAAATTCAGTATCATAGTATTATTTCAATTTTGTTTTTGTGCAGGTTGAACAGCTGACTCACATGACAACGTAGAGATTAAGTTTATATCTGAAATTTGCGTGACAGATGCATACTAACTTGACATGTATGTATACCAGGGCATTGTATACATCACAGATAAACGTATGAAGAAGACTATACAAGCCTTCTGTGATAAGGAAAATCTGGAAACCTTAAATGTTGCACTACATAAACAATTGCATGTATTATATTACCCAGGAATATTTAGAGTCAATTTTTTATTCAAAATGGCTGTCAGGGTAAAGAAAAACAAGACACCGAGTGTTAACACATCAACACTGACAGTATTAACACAATGACTGCCACAGTATTGTTTACCCATGTGCTATTGTTGTACCGTGATATATGATCAGTGTGCCCACTAAGCCGATATATTACACACCACTGACAGAGAAAGATTTACTGTGAATCAACTACATGGAGTTGTAGTTGTAATTCATTGGTACAACAGAAAATTGTACATTGATATGGTGATCTCCAAAAATATTTTATTATAGTTCTGGAAATCACAATTTTGTAAAAAAAAAAAAAGTCTAAAACCAGGGAAATTAGGGGCCACCATATTTTTGTTTGTGCCCCAAGCTCTTACAATTTCTTTCTTGGAGACTGACCTCTCCAGCTAAGTTAATTTTGGGGAATTCATTTTGACTTAAGATCCGTACAAAATCAGCCCCGTTAGAGGACACACTGGATAATACATCACAATTGGTCCGTGCACATCCTCAAAGACGGAGCTCTTTTTTTCAGATTAACACCCCTGTTTTCCCCCACGCTAAACCAACTTTCCCCCACACTAGCGAAAAAATCATTTGTCTTTTACTGACTTCCTGTTCCGGTCCATCTTTGAGAATATAAAGTATGGGAAAAACAAGCTAGCACTAGAATCATTTACTTATAAATATGTCACGAAATCTACATTTGTCTTGGGATTTAGAAATCATGTCATGATTCACCCGACTTCCAATAAGATCTTCATCCCATGTCAGTTGCATACCCTTATCTTATTCCTCAGCTCCTGAGAGCGAGGTTATTTGTAGTTATGTTGGCGATCGCCACTGTGTCTGCGGAAGTACTATGGGAGATTGCATGATGGGAGTGAAAAGTCTTTTGATCAGTAAAATAATTTTAGAAAAGTGAAAACTAAAGTGACTGTGAAATAAAGGTTGGTTTTAAATATTAAATATCATGAAATTTGGATGAATAATGAAAGGAAATTGAACTGGTATGAAAGGGCAGCAAATGTAGCCAGAATGCAAGGTCAGAATCCGGGGTGAAAATACGTCACAATACATCCATCAAGGCGGTTGCAAAGTGTCAACAACTATGGATGAGGTAACTTCGTTTGCAGTTTGCGTGAATGGCCGGGGAGAAAAATTCATGCAAATTCTGTGCTTCAGTAACAGTATTTGCTACTTTTTTGTGCAATGGAAATTAATACAAGAAATGCTGCCAAAAGACATGTCCTTCTAGTAAACAAAACAACCTTGGGACGTTTATCTTGATAAATTGAGAAGACGAAAATCCCTTGGGACAGTCGTTGTGAAACAATAGACATGCTTGCCAGGGTATCAAGGTTATTTTGATTATTTAAAGATGGAAACTGCTGCTTTATGGAAGAGCAAAGTTCAATGTCATTGGCACAGTAATGATGTTTTTAGAGGGGTGACTCTCTATAAGTATTCGCTGTGA